ACCCTAAAAAGTAGTCCTTCCCCTTTGGGAGCGAGGAGGTTGAAAGAAAGCCTGATTGAATGAACTCAGCTACTCCAAGAAGTAGGTCGATTATGCTATGTCGTTCTCCTTTCCACCTCTTCCATGAGAGTATTGGCATGCATCGCTGGAAAATGAATATCCATACCGAACTTGCCAGTTGCCAATTGAGGCATTCCATTTATGTTTCACATAATCCGTATCCCAACATCCCACCACTTTTCGCCCCGCCATTGCTGAAATGCCTGTCCTTTCCAACACCACCAGCCTTCGCCTTCTGCACCATATCCCAAACCACGAATCGGGCTGAGGGGAATCGGCTCGACCAACCATATTCCGCCTATTGAAAAATCATCTGCGCCCAGGGGTCCAATTAAAAACGCCCAAACCACAACAAATATGATATTCGTGGATCGACAGAGCCAGTGTGGAAAGCGAAACGGAAGACGCGCGATGACATGTTTGACAATGAGGTCCTGGAACATGATTGCTGGGGCCTGAAGAAAGAAAAACAGGAAAATGCCGGAGAAGGGTCTTGTTGGGGCCAGTTGCGTGTAGCTGCCAGCGGCGTGTAATAGGCCACTCAAGCCGAACACAACGTACAACTGGAGAAGCCGTCTTAAAAATGGCTTTTGAAGTCGATGTGGAAGGTGATCATAGATGCAATTGCTGGGCTGGACGAAGCTAAAGCGGAAAATCTGGTGCCACCATTTACTCCAGAAGCCGATGAGGCCATGGTCGAGTAACGAAGAAAAACAAGATCCAAATGCTTTTGGGTATAACCATGGGGCTTCAATTGGGATCAAGGTCCATGTGCGAGCGAAGGGGAGCCATAATGAAATGCTAAGACAGAGCAGAGAAACGGCGGAAGCCGCACATTCTACTGCACATATAACGCCCATCAGTGAGAAGACGAGGCGATAGGTTTGGGTGGCGGCCATTCCCAAAGTGCCGAAGGAGTCGAGAGGTGATGGTGGCGGGGAAGAAACAATACCCCAGAAATAGGGATCGAGCATCATGATGACTTTTAGGGCATCTAGGCCAAGGTAACTCCATATCATACGGAATAGCGCGGATTTCGCGGCGGATTTGGTATCACTTAAGTTCACGGTTTCGGGTCTGTTGATTTCATGCGATGGCCGATCGAGGTGACAAGGAGTAAATTTTGGTGGCGGCGGAATTGTGGAAATACGCCAATTCCAACCAGGCCCACGCATATTGATGATAAGGTCCCAGACCCATACCAGGCGGTAAAGAAATGTCTTCGGATACGCCTGCCACCGCAAAATGTACATC